CGTCTTGGGTTTCATCTACCTCTGCCTTAACATCATATCTCCTACTCCACTTTATAAAGTATTCATTCCCTTTATTCCAGAAACTACAGAAGAGAAAATCGACTTGCATATGAAGGCGGCACGACAAGATGAACAAAATGTTTATTGTGTCATGTGTAATCACAACCAGTCCATTGATTCATACCAATTTTGTGTGTTTCGCATGAACCTTTCCTCCATCTGGCTTGCTCCTCCAGCTCAGCGATGTCGCGCTACAGATTACTCTTCGACCGACACAATGTCCGAATAGCTTATTACCGGAAAATTAAAACTACGTCATGTTTCATATAATACCAAATAGTATGATTAATTCAAGCGCCGTTTCCCGTGAGCAGGTAATTTTTATCCGACCTATGACCGGATATGCTGATCCCCATTATCTCAGCTAATGGGAGTCATTTTTATATTGCCTCAGTTTATAATCGTAAAAGATCGAAAAGTTCAGATTCATTTTTCCAAAAATGATACGCTTCCCCAAACAACAAACAACATCATTATTACATTCAAACAAACGACTTATAGTAGATGAAGTACATTATTCAAAAGTTTACATTAACTTTGAATAATAACACGGGAGAAACGGAGCCTCTCTTTCCCCCTCTCTCCCTCTCTCTCTCCTGACAGCCCGTCAGTTTCTCATGCAGTTCGCTAAACAGTGGGCGGGGCTTCAGGTGATCAGAGCTGCATGTCTCTGTCAGACTCAGCAGCTCTCTCGCGTCCAGTTACACTTTACTCGCGTTTATGTCCATATGGATCAGATCCAGCTCTCCGGATCGGCCTGTATAGAGAGCACCGATCAAACTATTAAGAGTGAATATCGGCCGATAATGATGAGTGGCAATCGATCGGAGCATCCCTAATTATTACCGGACATTTTGACCGGCAGGTTTTGAATTTACCAGTTTTTAATACATTTTACCAGCTAAAAAAAACTGTAATTACCGGCTAACGGAAACCCTGCCTCAGCTGTGTATGAGTCTGTGTTTAAAGACTGTTTATTTATATTTTGGTCAGGGGACGTGTCACTATCCGATTGCACTTTTGTGTTTGTTTTGCTGTGTGCTTTTTTTTAATAGACAGGTGAATTGTCAGTGTGATAACATGAGTTTGTTGGAAGTCTTGGGTGCTTGCCAAAATGATGACCACCATTTCCTCCTAGTCAATATTGCAAAGGTATCAGAAAGCTTGAACCAGTCTTGCTTGATCACTATGCTATGTAGTAATGAAACTAATGAACTGCTCTTGCTCTATGCAGCCATTGTACACCTCGATTATGTGTATGCCGTGTCCTTTATCCAGATCATATCCAAAGAGCCCTAATGCAAATCTTTTTATCACAGAGGGATTTCTTCCACTAAACCCTGACAGTTTGCTACGCTGTGCTCGTTGAGCTCCAGAGCCGCTCTAAGCCAGTGAAGTGTGTGTGTTCGGCAGGTTTTCCAGGGTTCAGATGAGCAGCTGCAGGAGATTTACCAGAACCACCAGAGGACGGTGAGGGAGAAGGAGCGCAGGCTGACAGATTGCCAGAAGGAGCTGGAGAGAGCTGGGCGAGAGTGTCAGAGACTCAACAGGGTCAAGGCTGACCTCCTGGTAGAACAAGGTACACACACTCATTAATAGCGTTTTCCTGAAGTTTCAAGCAGCCCTTACAGCCATTGAAAAAAGAGTGAACTGGCAGAATTGATTTTAGAAAGTTACCCAAAACCTTCAAATATGCTGTTCTTTTAAGAGAAAAAAATAAATCAATGATAGATACAAGAAAGGATGGACACACAGGTGGAGAAACAGACATCTCCTGGGCCCAGGAGTTCAAAACTTTTAATCTCAATCAGATCCGATCAGATTTTGAAATCTTGCTACCTTTGCACAGGTCGTCTACAACTGGAGGCTGACCGCCACACTCAAAACATCAAGAACCGAGACACTCAGGTAAGAGAGAAACATCTAAATCTATGGGGCACTCCAACTCTTGTTCCCATGGAGGTGGACCGCACCCAGTTTAAGTTACCTTGGTCAAAAGCTCCTGCCAAATAAATGGTTTTATGTAAGGAGCAAGTGCACTTCATTACAATCAGCCAACACCAAAGGTTTCATTATTGGTCCCTTTTTTCTCTAACCATGTACACTACCCTAATGGTCTTCAAAATATAAAAAGAATGCTAAGTTTTTATTTAGTGCATGTATTTTACCTAAAGATAAAAACATCTGTCAAACATTTATTATACTATAATACAAAATAATACACTGTACATCATTTTGATGCATGTTTGATTAACATCTCTTTCTTAGGTTCGCTCTTTGTCGTCCTCTCTGGAGATGGAGGGTTACGACAGACCTCCCTTCAGCAGTCTTCAACTTGAAAGCTTTAATCGTCAAGTCACACAGAGACTGGATCAGGAGAAAGAGACGGCCAATCAGGTTATGGTAAGAAATGTTCCGTTTCATTTCCTAAAAACAAAAAAATGTCACAGCATTGCTTCTCTTCCTGCTGTACATATTTGTTCATACCAGAGACACGATTATAGTGTTTAGTCATTATAGTCATGCCTGATATCTCTCCTATCGTTCTGTTCACTCAGGCTGACCTGCAGGAAAAGGATCAGCAGAAGCAGCAGTCCATTGATGAAATGAGAGATAAGAAGACCGGCCTGGAGAGAACGGTGGAGTTGAAGAGAGACATGCAGGGAAAGAAGCAACAAGAAATGAGGAACGTCCGGACAGAGCTGCTGAAGCTCGAGGGTTCGTCCGGCCGGCTGCAAGAACTGGAGAATGAACTGGCTAAAGTGGTAGGCACACAGACAATTCATTCATGCTGTTATTACACTATTTTTCTCACAATATACAATAGGGGTGCAACAACTAATCGACTTATTCGATTAAAATCGATGACCAAATTAGTTGCCAACTAATTCAGTCGCTGATTCGTTGGTGACGTCATCACGTGTGTTTTACGCGCCGTTAAGCTCCAACGTTATCGGTCTTTTTATCGGTACTGGAGACATTTAAAAAATATATATGTATTATTGCTACATAAACATTATATCGCAGTCTTAGTGTCGCCAACTCGTTTCTAATATGCAAAAAGACAAAAAATGCGTCTATGGTGTATTTTCAATCTTTGTTTAGTTAATTTAATAGTACATGTATTTTTGAATCAAGTATTCATCTTTATTGTCTTCATTGTTAGTTTCCACATGCCTAAAACAACCTCAAGCTAAATCTAAAAGTTGATGGCTAAATAAGAGCGTTTGAGAAATTGTGCAAGGCATAATAGTCTGAATAGTCGATTTAATGGTTTCATTAATCGATAGATTATTCTATTATCAACTTAGTCGTTTGTTGCAGCCCTAATATACTGTTCCCTTTTACCCTAAAGTGCCCCTTCAGGATCACTGCTCTGATCACTCTGTGTGTGTGTATTCTTTTCCCTTCAGGAGCGCGAGCTGCAGAGCGTGGTTCAGAGCTCCAACGTGGAGGAGCTGAAGGCCGACGTGCTGGAGCTCCAGGGAGAGAAGGCTGAACTCGACCGCTTACAGAGACAACTCGACCAAGAGATGGGGATGCTCAACACACACACCACCGCTCGCACACAGATGGACATGCTAAAGAAGGACAAGGTAATGTGCAACCTACATTCATTGAAATGCAACTGGTGTGAACATTGTCCTCTTTGGTCTCAGGCTAGAGCCTTTTACATTTCAAAATCATAGACAATGTTCCCCTCTTCATCTTTTCCCTTCTTCATTACCTGTCACTCCTCTCATCTTTTCTCTTTGGTTCCTCCAGACAGAGAAGGACGAGCAGGTTCGTAAGATCAAGTCTCGTCACAACGAGGAACTGGTGTCGTTGCTCGGCCACTTTCCCAACAAGAGAGAGCTGGAGGACTGGATCTATTCCAAGTCGAAGGAAATCAACAGCACCAGGGACCGACTTGCCAAATTCAAGTTAATACAATTCTTTTACATTTACAGCCCATACATTATGAGGGAACTTATTATTCTGTGTCACTGACTAGTTCTATATCATGGTTTTAAATATTCTCAGTAAGGACCTGGCTTCAAATGAGCAGAACAAAAGCCACATCGCTGCTGAGGTACGGAAGAAGGAGCAGCAGTTGGCCAGCGACGAAGAGAAGTTTTTCAATGTGTGTGGCAGTCAAGATCTGGAGCAGGACCTGGGCAAACTGCGAGAAGATCTGGAAAAGATCTCCAAACAAAGAGGTGAATGCTTTATAATAGAAGTGAGCATGCACTTTTGGACATAGTCAAATAGAGGTCTAAACCTCGAAAATAACTACATTTAGAGACGAAATGTCTCATTTGTTGTGCTCGTTACCTTATCATGGATACATACAATCCTAAACCTTCCCAATGCATCAAACAGTTCCCACACAAAGTTCCCAAAATGGATTGAAAAAGGTATTCGCCATAGCATGTACACCCCTTTTTACTCAACACACAACTTTCCATTTGAAAGAAATGTGAATGATATTTATGTGACATATCACTTTCACTGATGAATGTATGGTAGGGTGGTCCTTAGTGCCATGTACATTTTCAAATTCATTTATTTTAAGCTCCAACCACCGGAATTTGTTATGATAGTCAAGAAAACTCTCCTGGTGAATTTTATTCAAATTCCAACAACATTTACCCCTCCCTCATCAACCTTGAAGTTCAGCCTCAGTAGGGTGGTCCTTAAAATTGAAAGTCGGAAAGTCTAAGCTCCATCCCCCAGAATTCATTCTATTAGTCAAGAATACTCTCCTCCCTCATTGAGCTGTGCTGCCTCACCAGTAGCCACTGTGCTGCCTCCCCAGCAGCCACTGTGCTGCCTCACCAGCAGCCACTGTGCTGCCTCCCCAGCAGCTACTGTGCTGCCTCACCAGCAGCCACTGTGCTGCCTCACCAGCAGCCACTGTGCTACATCTGAGGCTAAACTTCAAGGTCGATGAGGGAGGGGTACTGTACATGTTGTCAGATTGAGGAAAGAATTCACCAAGAGAATGAATTCTGGGGGTTGGAGCTTAGACTTTCCGACTTTCAATTTTAAGGACCACCCTAATGTATAGCCATTACAATCCCATAATAAAACATTGTAAACCGTATACATTGGAATGGCTTTACAAGTACAAGTGGCAGTTGAAGATGTGCATGCACCAGAGTTCCCGTTAGCCGGTAATTACCGGACTATGACCGTTCAAATATGCTGAAGACCGGCAAATCTAAATCTCTCCGGTCAAAATGTCCGGTCAAAATCATTTCCCCTTAGCCGGTCTTCAGCATATTTGAACGGTCATAGTCCGGTAATTACCGGCTAANGTGTGCCTTGGCAGTCTCAGTAAACGATAACGTTTATGGTTAAGTGTTAGCACCCCCCGAAGAGGCACAAGCTCTTATGTTGATATTGGAGATTTCAATAAAGTCAATTTGGCACTGCGGCTGCCAAAAAAAAAAAAAAAAAAACGAATATCCGAATAACGAAATTGAAACCAGAATAGTACTCCAACGAATGAATATTCGGGTACAGCCCTATGTGATGAGTAAACAATAGACGTGCGTATCTCACCTGTAATGCAGTATCTCCTCCTCAAAGCCTTTTTGACGACCCATTGCGATACTGCGGTTCTTCTTCAACTCTTCCAACTTGCGGTCGGCATCACGTCGTTCTCTGGACAATGACACGAAAGGATAAGTGAACTTCTAATAAGTGTGATACCGCTGAGGCAAAAGAGATTTAGGATGACTAGAACACATGGCTTTTGTGCAGCTCAGTTCAGTTATAATAACATTGATTGATCTTAAATAAGAGTGTAGTGCTCTTACTGGCGTAGCTGCTGGACTTGCATGTTGCCCATGTCTTTCAGAAGAACCTCACGTCTAGCCACAACCTCCTTTAACTCCTCGACACGTTTCCTCAACGTCAGGTTGTCCTGCAACCAGCGCTCCTGGACCTAAGAGATATAAAAATGTGTCTTTGCTTCACTTCTCTGAAACTCAGCATTGACCTGTCCAATGGTGGATAACACGAAGTCCCACCATGACTCAGGAAGTCGTACCTTTTGAGTGTCAATGTCCTGGCGGATGTTTCCCATCTCCTTGTTGATCTTGTCTTTATTCTTCTCCGCCTCGTGGAGGTGAGTGTTGGTTTCTTGAAGCTCAGACTCTTTTTGCTGCAGCAACAACAGACAATGTCAATAAAGTAGTTCAGTACTTCCAAAAGTGAATACGTCTGCACAGTTTGAGCCAAGGTTCTTTAACTAATAAACCTTATTCAAAGAAAAGCAATGCTGATTTTTCAAAGTGATGATGACTTTTCATGATGATTGCTTGTATCGATGTCCATCACTAAATAACCCATGGAGGAATCAGAAAGACTGATGTATCAAATATGACAGTGGCACACAACTTGCCTCTTTGTATTCGTTTTTGCCGTCTTCGACATATTTCTTGATGTCTTTTTCCAAGTTGCCGATTGACTTCACCTTTTCTTTAATGGCATTGATCTGTCGGAGGGAAAATGTGTTAATTTCTGCTTGATTTTCAGTAGAGAAAAAAAGGGGGCAGTGACAGAGAGACAAAGTGAGAAAGTATCCACCTTCTCCTGCCCCTCCTCCTGCCTCTGCCTCCTGCGCTCCACCAGCTCCTGCTTCTCCTGCTGCAGCTTCTCCAGAGACGCAGACAGAGGGGACAGCTGCTCCTTCGCTTCCTGTGAGACACGAAGGGACAACATGGTATTTAGAGATTCTCTTTTCGTACAATTCACTATGGCTGGACAGTATCACTGTGTATATTGTCATAGCTATATGAAAATAATAATGATATAATAATGATATATACCGTAATTTTCGGACTATAAGCCGCGCCTTTTTCCCCATTTTTCGACCCTGCGGCTTATATAACGGTGCGGCTAATCTATGGATTTTTACAGCTAACGGCCACTAGGGGACCTCCTAAATCTATGGATTTTACAGGTTATAGTCCACCACCTTTAACTCTATGAGCTTTATGGCCGGTCCGCGCCCCCCACCTTTAAGCGGCGGGCTCCAGCAGGAAAAGCTGGAGGCCGGAAAAGAGTGAGACAGGTAGCGCGCAAAAGTAAAAGTGGAACCGAGAGTGGTGCGAGAGACAGAACGAGAGCAAGACAGACAGACATTACGAGAGCGAGACAGTTTGTCCCCGTACCACTGGTTGAAAACCACTGCCGTAGATCACTGCCGGTACGTGCGCTGGGAGCGCACCGTTTAAGTTTGAAAGTTGAAAAGTTTGTGTGTCTGAAACGCTATGTGATACAGTACAGTTTACACAGCACAGTACATGTTCTGTAGCTACTATTGCACTAAATGGTAACACTTGAATACGTTATGCAAATATGCAACTTGTTTGTCGAAATGTTAATAAATGGGAGCTTCCTCAAACAGCCATCTCTTTCCCGACAATCCCCTCTGTGCACGAACCCTTACATATGGTAATTAAACATTAAAACACCTGCGGCTTATAGTCCAGTGCGGCTTATATATGTACACATCATTCAATTTAGCTGCTGCGGCTTATATTCAGGTGCGCCTTATAGTCCGAAAATTACGGTACTTACCGTTTATATTTTAATACATTTTTTCAATTTAATTTCACTTGTAAACGTTATGATTATTTTGAACTTAAGTAAACTGTTATTGAGAAACTGAATAATCCCTATCGTTATAGAAGTCATAAAATGTTACCCAGTCGAAAACCTACATATTTGTTTTTCTATATTGTTTTTAAATGTTGCTACAGTAATTCCCAAGTGCCTCTACATCAACGTCTTCCAAGAAGTATCTTAGATATACAGAAACAGTGAAATGTACCCTGATGTCCCGGGTGAGGGTCTGTATTTCCGTGGTGCACTCGACACACTGCTCCTCCAGCTGCTGCTGTTTCTGCATGTCACTGCTCAGCTGGAGCTTCTCTGCCCTCGTCTCGTTCGCCGAACTTCTCAGCATCTGAATCTGATCCTGCTGGTCCTGGATCAGCTTGCGTTTCAGCTCCATCTTGCTGGAAGCTGCAGGGTCACAAAAAAGACAATATGCATTAAAAAAAAAAGTATTCAACCGGGTTTTAGATCCATATTAGTTTTAAAGATGGTAACATCTAATTACATATTTTTCACTGATAACTTTGATGCATTATCTCTTTAAAGATTGCTCAAAGTGAGAGTTTTTTTCTCAAATTCTGAACCCATTTCCTGTTCTGACTTTGGGATGAAGAGTACAATTACATCATTGAGATATTAAGCCTAATAATTGAATATATAGTGTGCGTTTTCTTTGAGAACAAATCAAATACATGATTATTATGAATATTTTATGTTAAGTCTTTATTCTCCCTTCAAATGTATTGTTTTTGATTGTATATGTTTGTATGAATGCAAGCTGTCCGATACATTTGGAACCCAAACACAACAAGTATAGCAACTCCTCTACAAAGGACCTTAGTAGAAAAACACATTTCCCCCTAAGTGCATCACGCCCCCTTACTTGTGTCTAGCTTGTGCTGAGTTTCTTGTTTCTCCTGACTGACTTGCTGGATGGTTCTGTTCAGGTCTACTCCCTGGAGTTTGGATGCCTGCTGAGCGATTTTCCTCTCCAACTCTTTAAGGTCCATCTGGAGAGAACAAATATGTAGTAAGGTGAAAAGGGAGAATAGGGAGAAGGGGGATGACAAGATATTTGCAGGAAGACTAACAGTGATGATTTTGATGCTGTCACTTGTTTTGATTGCTGTTATTTGTACATTTGATATCAGAAAGTTATCTATTTGGAGAAAGATGGGATGGTGGAAAGAACAAAAGTGGTCAGCTGGTTAGAGAGTGTTCAGAAACAGAGAGGCAGAAGGAGGGTACCAGGTATCTGTCCATCAGAGAAATATCCTGCAGGCAGGCCTTGGCGGTTTCCTCCTCTGACATGAAGACACCCAGCAGAGTCTCCTGCTCCTCCACGTCTCCCTTCAGCCGCTCAATTTCTCTATTCACAGTCTGCAGGCGGTTTCTCAACTCAGGCAGCTCCTTTTCCTGAAACTGCACAATGGACTGCCTGGGAGGCATGAGAGAAAATAGAAATATACTTTGAGCAGAGCTAAAAGGTGCATGTTACATGTTTTCATCATGTTAGCCAACATTATCCCTTCTCACCCTGCTGTTATTCAGGGAGAGGTTTTCATTGAAAACTCCTGATTAAATTACATCAATTTGACATCAGTTTCAACAACCCATATAGTCTGAAACATTTCTAGGATTAAATGTCCTAAGAGTTTGCCAAACTAAGAGGGCAAAGAGAAGGTCTAGTACATGGCCTGATAGCTAAAATCAAGAGTGCTGCAATAATAGTTTCATAAAACGTATTTCATGGCCCATCTACATTAACAATAGAGGTCATTAGATACAGTAGGTCCCTGCTGAATTCGTACATGATGATCCGTTATCGTACTTGGTGTTTCAGGTAAACAGAAACCTATAACCAACAAAGGGCATTTTCTAATGTCAGCCAGAAGAAGTATACTCCTGAAAAACCCAAGTGGATCTTGTGATAAGATTTGTGTTGTATTTATAAGAGGACTATCAAATAAACCAATATGTATGCTATGTTCTTTGTATATTCTTTCTGACGGAGCAATAACAACAGCTCTAATAGCATTCAAATGTGTTGAAAGGTAAGATATATAAAGCTATTATTATATTTTGAAATAAAGGGAGTGGCTGCTTGGAGCTCATGTCCTCCAGGGTTCTGCTCAGGTCCTGAAAGGACAGTGGAGAGAACCGGAGACAAATCTCCATCCTATGAGAATCTTGCTCCACCTAGTGGGGAACATAAAACCTGTGCTCCACTCTCTTTAAAAATCAAAGGGGAGGGGAAAAGGACAATTGTAGCTCTATATTTGTCCATCATTTATTGTTAAGTCATTTATCAATTGTATAACTTAAATTTGGTGTAAAATAATATCATGTTAATAAATAAATCATCAGTGGGCTGGTGAGATTTCCTCCTCCTTTCTCCACGCGCCATACTGCTTGAATGAACACTGCTGAATATCTATTTTTAGAGTGACAAGCAGGCCTGTTGTTGTTCGCTATTGGGGGACTGGATGAATATATCATAGATTTGTGTTGTTTTTTTAAATTGTCTTTGCCATTTGTGCTGGTGCAATACTCTCAAATGGGATGATTTAAAATGTGTTTATGGAAACAACAAAATGAAAGCAATTCTGAAAACACCTGACAAGTCGAAGCCTTAATTCATTCGAGGCTGCAATTATTCAATTAATTAATCAATCACAATTGCCACGCATCAAAAGTTGAGGATTTCCCAATTGACAATGGAATAACTTTGAGTGTAGGCAAAACTATACATTTCACAAAGCCACCTTGTGAAATTGTGCATTTTTTTATATTTAAAAGGCAATTGAAATGGATTAAGTGTGAGAAGTAGCAGATTAACTGATATTCACACTACAGGACAAAAAGTCTGCAGTCATAGAGAAGGGAGCCATTTCATAATTGCTAAAATAATGGCTTACATTTTCGCAGTGTTTTTTCACTAAGGCTAAAATGACTACCCTCAGTACACTTGCTGCACTCCAACACAAACTTTGTCTTTGGCTTTGTGCGTACCTGACAGGTCTGAGAGCCATCATCTCCTCCCTCTTCCTCTCCTTCCTCTTCAGATCCGTCTCTGTGTTCTTCAGCTTGTCTGGCACCAGGCGCAGCTTGGACTGCATGTCGCTGATGACTTCCTGCAGATCAGAGTCTGAAGGGAACGTCCGCTGGCACACGGGGCAGCAGGGCTCTCTCTCCTCCGTCAGCTGGCTGATGAACTGGGTGTACACCGCTGTTGCTCCGGATAGCATGGCTATGAAAGTACAGGGGTAGAAAGAAAGAAGAAACATATAGTTTATTCATCTGTAATACCTTTATCACAAGTACTATGAGGAAAATAATTAGTGCATGCCAGAGTTCCCGTTAGAATATTCTTTCGCCGGTTAAATGTTCCGGACAAAATTAGAAAAGTGCCGGTCAAAGGTCTTCTTTGTTATTTATTGAGCTTTAAAACAAATGAATAACGACTCTATACAATCATATAATAAAACACGGAGGACGGAGATCTCTTTTTCTCCCCCTCTTCTGACTTGATCAGAGCACGCTCCCCTCTCCTGCAGGGGGGCGTGGTCAGCTGCAGCTCACAGAATCAGCCCCCTGCAAAAACAGGGCTGGAGAACAGCAAATAGAGCAAAATGAGGCATGGCTAAAATGCAGGATCTGTTTGGTATTTTGAAAACAGAAATGTATAAATATACCTTATATAGGTATGGCCCTACAATATATCATTTAAATATAGCATGATAGGTGTCTTTTAAGTAANGGGGTGCTAACACTTAACCATAAACGTTATCGTTTACTTTCTCCGTCTTTATATGTAGATATGACTTTTCTCTGTCAATCTCCTTCACGTTGTTTCCATAGCAACAACAACTTCCTGTCAACAGTGCTAACTCTCCTTAAAAATAAAAACATGTCCATACAAAATAGGAAGCCAAGCCAAATTACACTTAAGACATATACAACTGCAACGAAAGTAACAAACACAATATCCTTTTCAATTTCAAAGAACACAAATTGGGTTATATACATTAACAAATAACTATAAAACAACAATACTGTAGAATAACTAAATGAATGCGGTGAATAAACCGAAATACACGTTGAAGCGGTTCGCTGCTGATTATTACGCTCTAGGGATGCCAGAGATTATTCGATTTTTCGAATATTCGTTACAGTCTCCATAATCGAAAATTATTTTTAGAATTCGATTTTATTTATATATTTTTTTATTATTATTACCAGTTAGTCTGCTTCATATTAATAATATGAGTTATTTCTTGAATTAAACTTTGCCTTTGTCCCGTTCTTTGCAGGAAAGAGCTGCGAGAGGATCAGTATAACAAAGCTGATGAGCGCTACAAGAACAAGATGATCACAATGAGGACAACCGAGCTGGTTATTAAAGATCTGGATCTCTACTACAAGGCCCTGGATCAGTAAGTGTTGCCTGGAATTGCATCGAGTATATGGATTATAATCAACACATTTGTTTTGTGAACTAACAAACTTAAAGTAAAGTCACAAGATTTCTCCCAGAATCTTGAAACTTGAGAAAGCCAGCTGGATATAGCAGTACGGTATTAGTATACATTAAATGCCTTTAATATAAAAAATACATCAAATTCTAGAAGATGTCATTGTGATATCCACAAATATCAGATGACTGCAATAGTAAAATCAATTTTCTTGAAAGGTTTACACGTAGTGGGAAAATGACATGCATGTATACAATGACTTGAACTGGAGCAGATCTGACTGATGATTTAAGTGTGAAACCACAGAGAACAAAGAAACCACCACATGTTAAAAGGCTTTAAACCAGTGGTCGCCCACCGGTCGATCGCGAGTGTGGTGCGGGTAGATCGCGGACCGTTAAAAAAAAAGTAACAAAAGAAAGAAAAATTAAATTAAAATAATAATGTTTAAAAAATACGTTTTTAGATGTAAACCTATCATCTACCACCCCGTTAGCAGGTGCCACTTGATTGACGTATATTTGAGACACCTCAATAATATAATACATTAACCGTGCTTTACGTGAACCTCATCATGACACAAGAGACGACGGCAGGACTGTAATTTCCCGTGTTCAGTGAACGCAACAGAGGCAACACACCAGACCAATCAGAGAGTTGCATGGAAATACACGTGTGTTTGTGTCATTCAAGCTGGCTCTGTATGTGTGTGGCGATAGCGCATTTAGTGTGATAGAGAGGGAGAGGGAGGAGGGACCTGTGCTAGCGGGGACCGTGATGTTAGCATCTGGTTAACTAGCTGCACTAACGGACATAAGGAGCTGTTTCCACAACAAGCTGGAGGAGAGTCCTCTCCTGTCAGACTGAGGGGCTCAGGTGAGCTAAAGGACTCTTGAGTGTTTAGAACGGTTTTGTCACAAATTATTCAAAAGATTATTTCCGCGGCACACCTTCATATGATCATTATAGTTATACAAACAATAAGAGAATAAATGAAAAACAGGTATGAAATAGCCTACTATATGGCAGTAAAACAAGAATACAGTTTAATGTGATTTGTAAATATCCATAAAGAAAAATAAAATCTGTTTACAGTTCTGTTTCATATGGGTGCTGAGAGAGGTATCCATAGATCTCTTCATGTTGCTCTCAAAGAGATTGATGCTTTCAACTTCAATATTTTAAAACAAATCTTCCCGGGGAACCACGACCCCCCTAGAGGAGGTGAGGACCCCCCTAGAGGAGGGGAGGTACGCCCCCCAAATAGCACTTTACCCCTGCTTATATGCCGTGAGCTGATTATGGAGCCTTCAAATGCAATTAGCCTATATAAAAGGCCTCAAATTGGAAGCATTGTCTGGTTTTCACTCAATTCTGCAATAGGTAGATCTTGCCTTTCACCTAGGCCGAGGTCGGTGATCTTGGGCTTAAAAAGGTTGGTGACCACTGCTTTTGAGGATATTACACTAGGAAGTAAGTATTCTCTCTGCTTCGCTTGACAAACCCTGTGATAGTCCTCAAGCTCTGTGATTGGAGAGTGTGCTCCGAGGGTTACGCCGAGCGCCGAACAGCACTTGAAATGGGATGGAACCACGGCAGACTGTCCAAAACTGGATTTGAACGGGTCCACCCCGGATCAAATATAAAAGTCAGCCGAATTAGTGTTGATCCTGCGAGGGGACGTATTGTGTGAAAAGAAATGTAAGATGTTGTTTAATTGCTGATATATTTATGATCCACGTCACGTTTTCAGTGTTGGCGGCAGTTCTTCCTGTTTGTCTAGAAGTCTTCTCAGCGGGGCTCTATAAATAGAGAATTACAGCAGATATGTAATATGTAATGCAGCCGAACCGTGTATTACAATGCCGTTATGTGATGACTTTCAAAGAGAAAAGCAAGCACACTCGGAATAAAGTATTATTTTATTTTTATTTAAATGTTTTCGGTCTATTTGTTAATGACGATGTGATGTGAGATGTGAGACAAACGGGGTTTGTCAAACAGAGCAGATGGTGTAGTCCTAAACGATAGCTGGGGATTCTGGGTAGTGTAGTGTCTTCTGCGATGGCAGAAGACACTACACTACCCAGAATCCCCAGCTATCGTTTAGGACTACACCATCTGCTCTGTTTGACAAACCCCGTTTGTCTCACATCTCACATCACATNGATTACATTCAGGCAGACTGTAGAATACAACCTCTTTGGACAATTTATATACTTATTGAAAACAAGCTACAAAATGTAATACCTTGGAAAATGCCGTTTAATACTTTTTAATAGCCTTAATTTTCGCTAAATTGATTTGATTTGAATACTTTTTTAAGACCCCGCGGACACCCTGTTATATATATATATTGCATAAATCACCTGCTGATGAGGCTTATTTAAAACACTTTTCATGGTTTTTTGAATTTAGAATATTGAATGAGGATGAAATAGGATTTAATCCTTTGAGTATTCATACTGTTAAAAGAACCCGTCCAAACCATCTTCTCCAATGTAAGACATGTGGAACAATCCCCGCTTTTGTTGCTATTTGCACATTTCCAAAGTTTATCAGAAGTGAATACAATGCCTCAGAATTCTGAGTTGATCAAATCAAGTGTGTATCTTCCAAAGTTACCACCTGTTAAGTAGAAGTTGTTTTCTTTACACCATGTTCCCTTGCTGAGCCAAGTTGGAGGGGTAGTGAGACCAAGTGGGAACTTTTTACCAAAAAACATGTCTGTAGACAGGACCCTGCTAAACAAATACATGCACCCACATTTCTTGTAGTTCCTTTATAATGTGATCGCTGAATTTTGAGTGTTGACCTCGCCGAGGTTAAAGAGCTCAGTGATCAGGAGCTCAGATTCATGTTTTTGTATTTGTAGCATCAGGGATGCCGTGTAGGTGTATCACACAGAAACATAGAAAGCTGTACCCTTGACGAATCAAACTAAAAGGTTCCCACTGAAATGATTCTAATAAAACATACATTTTTGTTTTAAATTAAATACAAGACAGCTGGGGACTTCAGTGGAAAATATAGCTGAGAAAAGATTTAGTTCAAAATGTTTTCAGCGGGACAGCTATAACGTATAATTATTTTATTATATATAACATTATATAATTCTTCTACAATTCTAAGTGAAATGTTGTCCAACTGCTACGGCCAGTTATTTAACAAATGTTGTACATAAACTATTAGAGACAGCAGGTACACATGAATGAGATACGGGGGCGTTTTTTGAAAAGGCAGTGTTGATACAAAGATTCAACAGTCAGACACACATTTTCAGTTCTGACTGCAACTGATTTAAGGAACATGAAACATCATTGTCTTGATGGTCTCATATGCTGACAACAATTAGTTGCAAAGTTATGTTTTCCAGACCCAAATCAAAGCATCTCACCATGAAAACCATTTTCTGTGTATTCAGATAGAAACTGTGACCCGGCAGTATACTCTGCTAGGAGGCTTGCTTTCAATCTTGATAACACACTGAAGTCTTAACCCACACATACTGGTAAATGATGCTCTGCTCTCTGCTCAGATGCTATCTGAGCAGAGCGCTCACGCTTCCTCACTGAGACGAGCACTGGCCTTTCATCCTCACTTGACTTGTATGTCAATTGATTCCAACAACAAAATAAATAGGATTGCACCCTGATCAACTACACATTATATTTCAGATTGTAATAAAATAATGCTATCAAGGAAGGAAAGCCATTATAAAAAGCATACGGAGCCTTGCTGAACTCATTTTCAGTGAATAGAGAGAAGTGATATCTATCATTATCTACAGTCATTATCATTTCCCCAAGTGAGATAAACTTAATTAAACAGTCATGTTTTATCTGACCAACAGTCTGAAGCCCAAAGATGTTAAGTTTAATGTGAAGCTACAACCTTATAATCCATTAGTCCATTTTAAAATGTACATTTCTTGATTGCTTTATTTTTTCAGCTCTGAATGTATGAAATATATACTTGTTTAATGGGACATTTCTTGTAGAGTTGTATATAAAAAAAAAGATGACTAACACACCAGCTACACTTTTCAAACTCATAGGGAATTATGATGAGAAACATTAAAAAGATCAAATAAGGTCAAAAGATTGCCTCTTGACGTGTCTCACTGCACAGACTGTGTCCACCCTCGCAGAGGAAGGTGATGATGTCACACATATCCCTTCGCCACAAAGCTTGTCAGTGCTTTGATACGTTTGTGGTTTTGATTGTTTCCGAAAAAAGCCAGGCCATTTGTTTGGGGGGAGGAGGCGGCCTCGAAGCGCCTCAACAAAATGAAAGAGAATACAACTTAATAAATGAGACTTATATTACACTCTTCAAAGTGTGTGTGTAAAATGAAGATTTGATATGGTGTTGCTAAACATGGCACCCATTTACTTTAATGACAGACTTTACCTTGTTTTTTTAAGTCTCTGTTGGAGGAAAAAAATGTCTTCACAAATTCAAGGTAACGTGAACGGAAGACGATTAGGGCCACATGAAAAAAAAATGTGGGGATGTGAAAGAAAAGTAATAATTCCGAGAATTTTTTTTCTGAAGGCACTAGCTACTTTGTTTTTGCAGTGACACTGACACTGACATTACCTGAGACATTTCTAAAGAGCTCAGTGATACAAGAAGAGTGACATCACCAACATCAGCTAAATGACTTTCTAAATAACAACCGAAACGTTGAGGTGGGCGAACTTCAAAAAGGCCTGAGAAGGAGGGCATGGACTCATGTCTCATAACAGGAAAACTACGAGAGACGGAAAGACGAAGGTGCTGATGTCGACACTAAATCTTACCAACAATACGACCTACTGTAAGCTCTAAGCCAGTGTTTCTCAAACTTTTTCATACCAAGGACCACTTAACCAATAAAAAAACACTCGCGGACCACCTAACTCCACAAATATCCAAAAACAAAATCGTTTTTTAAAAAACAGATTACAAATCACCTGAAAATGGTACAAACAAGTGGCAACATGTGTGATGAAGGTGTTGCGCTGGGCTATATCATGCAATTGAAACTTAAGCTCGCTCCATTGCGGAGATATTCCCGAGAGAGTGCGGAAAACTTAAATGTATTTATTTATTTCAAATGTGAAATGTTACCAATATACTCACGGACCACCAGTGGTCCACGGATCAAACTTTGAGAAGCACTGCTCTAAGCCATTCATGTGTCTATGTTATTGCTGTATTTTATATACATTTTCTCTGTGAACTATTATTTTGCAGGGTTTTTCTTTAGGTCTGAAATTGAAGGAGTTTATTTTTAAAAGCAGTTTTTGGTACTTAAATCAAATCTCAAACAATGTCTGTTGTGTTATTTCCTTCCATACGTTTAAAGCAGTGGTCACCAACCTTTTTAAGCCCAAGATCACGGACCTCGGCCTAGGTGAAAGGCGAGATCTACCTATTGCAGAATTGAGTGAAAAAGACGGCCCAGACAATGCTTCCAATTTGAGGCCTTTTATATAGGCTAATTGTATCTGAATTACTGTTACAATGAAGGCTCCATAATCAGCTCACGGCATATAGGCAGTGGTAAAGTGCTATTGGGGGGCGGACCTTACCTCCTCTAGGGGGGTCCGGGGGGATGCTCGCCCGGGAAGATTTTTTTTTAAATATTGAAGTTAAAAGCATCAATCTGGTGAACTTTGAGAGCAACATGAAGAGATCTATGGATACCTCTCTCAGCACCCATATGAAACACAACTGTAAACAGATTTTCTTTTTCTTTATGGATATTTTACAAATCACATTAAACTGTATTCTTGTTTTACTGCCATATAGGAGGCTATTTCATACCTGTTTTTCATTTATTCTCTTATTGTTTGTATAACTATAATGATCATATGAAGGTGTGCCGCGGAAATAATCATTTGAATAATTTGTGACAAAACTGTTCTAAACACTCAAGAGTCCTTTAGCTCACCTGAGCCCCTCAGTCTGACAGGAGAGGACTCTCCTCCAGCTTGTTGTGGAAACAGCTCGTTATGTCCGTTAGTGCAGCTAGTTAACCAGATGCTAACATCACGGTGCCCGCTAGCACAGGTCCCTCTCTCTCCCTCCTCCCTCACTCCCTCTCTCTCTCTCTCTCCCTCACTCCCTCTCTCCCTCACACACACACCGCTATCGTTGTAAT